AGAAAAGAAAACAAACAAAAAACCCGCCCAAAACAAAGCAAAACACCCCCTCCCCCACAAAACCAGAAATACTATACCTAGACATAACATTTTCAAAGTAAAGAAAAGCAAACAAACAAAAAAATATCTTAAAATAAGCCAGAGGGATAAAACACTTTACCTACAGAAAAAGCAAAAAAAAAATTACATTTGACTTTTCTACAGACATCATGCAAGCAAGAAAACAATAAAGGATTTAAAATGTCAAGAGAGAAAAATCCCACCAACTTAGAATTCTATACCCTTCAAACTGAAAGAGAAATAAGACTTTCTTAGACAAATTAAAATTGAGGAAATTTATGCCAGTAGATGCAACAAATATTAACAGAAAAACTTAACTGAGAAAAATATATGTCAAAAACTCAGATTTACATAAAGAAAGAACATCAAAGTAAGAATAACTGAAGGTAAAAAAACAAATAAAACCAAGTTGATCCAAAAAAATAGTTTGAAACATTGCTATGTATGCATGTATGTGTGTGTGCATGTGTGCGTTGTGTGTGTGGGTGTGTGTGTGTGAGTGTATAAAATGAATGACAAAGAATTAGGATTATTTTATTAGAAGATAGCACACTACCTGTGAAGTGAATGTGGTACAGTTATTTGAAATTGATGTAGTCGTAGGTATGTGATACAAATTCTAAGGCAATCATTGAAATGGTGGAAATATGTATATAACTGACATCCTAAAAAATGAGAGAAAATGTAATCATAAAATGCTCAATTAAAACCACAAAGGGCCCTAGCCAGTTTAGCTCACCTGAAAGAGCATTGGCCTGCAGTCCGAAAGGTCCCAGGCTTGATTCTGGTCAAGAGCACAAGCCCAGGTTGCAGGCTTGATCTCCAGTAGAGGATGTGCAGGAGGCAGGTGATCAATAATTCTCTCATCATTGATGTTTCTATCATTCTCTCCCTCTCTCTTCCTTTATGAAATCAATAAAATATATATATTTAAAAAAAATAAAAAATAAAAAACCAGTCCTTGGGCTGATGCTCTTACCACTGAACATAACTGGCCAGAGTTGTTAATTACATTTTTAAAAACAAAATTTTTTATTTTGGAATAATTCTAGATTTACCCCACAACTGCATAGTGAATATAGGTTTCCTGTGCATAGGTCTGCATAGCTAGTCTCTCTTGTTGTTCACAGCTTCCACAACCCTGGCGCGGACACAGCTAACAAGTGAATATTGCTGCCATGCTTGAACTGGACTATAGAATTGTGTTTCCGGAAACCAAGATGGCAGCATAAGGTAAACATCTAAATGTAGCCTACCACACAATTTTAAAAGTACAACTGGAAAACAGAGCAAACATCATCCAGAACCACCAGAAGGCTGACTGAGTGGAAGCTCTACCAACTAGGAAGCGAAGAGAAAGGACGCTGAGCCTCAGGAGCTTTGGAGGTGCGGAGATCTATGTGTGCAGAAAGGGTGGCCGCCAAATACACTGCTGGTTTACTGGCAGCGCGTGGAGAGGGCGGGCAGCTAACACGTGGCTAGCTTTCTTGTTCGGGAGGAAAACAAAACCTCCCTATTACACTGATAGCCACCTCCAGTCAGATAGAAATTGGACTGTCAGGGAGCAGGCAAAACTCTCTCAGAGGTGCGCATGGCCAGCAGTCATAGCTGCAGGTCTCGGCGAACAGGACCCTCTTAGGGTGGGGCTGGCAGGAAACAAAAACTTGTCTGCGCCACACCGAGACTCCACCCCATCCAAGTTGAGCACAGAAGCCCTCCTAGCTGAGACACTGCTGATCCTCACAGCCAATTGGCTTGAAGATAAAACTCTCCCCAGTGATACCAACAAGAAGCAAGGCTTATCTACAATAAGACTGCACACACAGCCCACAAAGGGCTGCATCATGTCTGTCCACCTCAGGTAATTGGGGAGGCTGAGCTACTGGGTCCTGCTAGGACAACTAGCACACAAAGATACTCCATCAACTCAGAGAAGCAGCTAAAATGCAGAGACAAAGAGGCAGGCCACAAATGAAGGAAATGGAGGAAAGTAAAAGAATGTATATAGAGTTCAAAACCACAGTTATAAGGTTTTTCAAGAATTTCCTAGAAAAGACTGATAAATTTAACGAGACCTATGAGGATATGAAAAGGGATCAACTAGAAATTAAGCATACACTGACTGAAATAAAAAATATTATACAGAGACTTAAAAACAGACCAGAAGATCGCAAGAAACAAGTCAAAGATTTGGAATACAAAGAGGCAAAGGACATTCCTCTGCAGAGGTAAGAAGAGAAGAGAAATCCAGAAAGTTGAAAATAGTGTAAGAAGCCTCTGGGACAACTTCAAGAGAAACAACATCACAATTATGGGGTCCCAGAAGAAGAGAGAGAGAAAGATACTGAAAACCTATTGGAAGAAATAGTGACAGAAAACTTCTCCCACCTTGTGAAAGAAATAGGTTTACAAGTCCAGGAAGTGCACAGAACCCAAAACAAAAGGAATCCAAAGAGGACCACACCAAGACACATCATAATTAAAATGCCAAGAGCAAAAAACAAAGAGAATATTAAAAGCAGCAAGAGAAAACCTACAAGAGAGCACCCATACGATTGTCAGCTGATTTCTCAACAGAAACCATGCAGGCCAGATGGGAATGGCAAGAAATATTCAGAGTGATGAATAGCAAGAACCTACAACCAAGATTACTCTACCCAGCAAAGCTATCATTCAGAATTGAAGACCAGATAAAGAGTTTCACAAATAAAATAAAAAAGCTAAAGGAGTTCATCACTACCAAACCAGAATTATATGAAATGCTGAAAAGTATTTCTTAAGAAGAAGAAGATAAAGAAAATAATTATGAACAAATACGTAACTACCAACAAGTGAATCTAAAAATCAAGGGCATTAAAAAATCTGATGAACAGTATTAACTAGTGAATATAATAGAATCAGAGGTATAGAAAGGGAGTGGACTGATGATTCTCGAGGAAAAGGGGAGTGGGGGTGTGGGAAGAGACTAAACAAAAATTGTACACCTATGGATGAGGACAGTGGAGGGTGGGGAAAGGGCAGAGGGTGAGGTAGGACCCTGGTGGAGGGGAGCTATGGAGGGAAAAAAGAGGAACAATTGAAACAATCTGAACAATAAAGACTTATTAAAAATAATAATAATAATAATAATAATAAAATAAATAAATTTTAAAAACCACAAAAGGCAGAAAGAGTGCAAGACAAAACCAGAAGAACAAGGGCAACAAGTAGAAAACAGTAATAAATGTGTAAGATACTAAACAGCTATATCAATAATTACTTTAAAAGTAAATTGTCTAAGCCTTGGCTGGGTGGCTCAATTGGTTGGAGCATTATCCCCTACACCTGAAAATTGCAAGTTTAATTCCCAATCAGGAAACATATCTAGGTTGTGGGTTCAATCCCCCAGGGCACATATAGGAGGCAACAGATCATTGTTTCTCTTTCACATCAATGTTCCCTTCTTGCTCTAAAAATCAATGAAAAAATATTCTTGGGTGAGGATTTTAAAAAACATCTACACATATGATAGCTATATTGACTTCTGCAGATTTAATAATAATAAGAGCTGACAATTACTGAACACTAATTAGATATCACACAGCCTACTAAGCATTTTATGACATTATTTCCTGTAAGCCATACCCAAACTCTATATGACAGGTATTATTACACCCTATTAGTACTCATAATAGCCTACCAAATGCTCCATCAACAAGAGAATAAACTATGACAATTTCACACACTGAACTACTTACAGAAATAAAAAATAAACTATACCTACATAGAAGAATTTCAAAAACAACTAAGATTATATGAAAACAATTCTCATAAGAATATATATCATGTTAATTCCATATATTATAGAATTAAAAACTATACTGAACAGCAGTAAACACATGTTAGGAAAAGTAGTAAAGGAGTTATAATTGGAGAAGGGTATACACAAGACTTCAGTGTCATTTGGTAACATTCTATTTCTCAAGCTGAATGGCTGATGTATATGAATTAATTTCACTTTATTCCTTAGATACATGTTTTATATATATATTTTTAATCATGAAACAGTTCACAGTAGAAGGAAAATAAGTACTATTAAAAAGAAAGTGATTTATACATAGACTACTATAGCTCTGTGTTCCTAAGCAGAGGATATACATCTGAAAATAGCTGGACTTTATCAGCATCTCAAGAGATTATCTTCAAGAGAAATAAGAGTGACAGCAATCTATACTAATAAAAGGGTAATATGCTAATTAGACAGGACATCTTCCAGATGACCTTCCAGAAATCCTTCTGGACAAACCCATGTGGCAGGGCCAAGGCATAGGCGGTTAGTGGCGATCAGGCCTAAACCACCAAGGATCGGGCCTAAACAGGCAGTCAGGCATCCCCCTAGGGGGTCCCAGATTGGAGAGGATGCAGGCATCCTCTTTTATCAATATACTAGAGGCCTGATGCACAAAATTCATGCACGGAGCGGGGGACAGTCATTCGGACCCTTTTAATGGAGGCAGAAAATATAGCACTGAAATGTCATTATACATGAAATGTCATTAACATCATTTCATATATACATGAAATGTCATTAACATCTCTGAATGGTACAAGGGGAGCAGGAAAATTGCATCGTTTCAGTGCTATATTTTCTGCCTCCATTAAAAGGGTCCGAATGACTGTCCCCCGCTCCGTGCATGAATTTTGTGCATCAGGCCTCTAGTATATTGATAAAAGAAACCCTCTTTATTTTTCCAAAGGAGGTAAATTTTTTCAACAGATCAATTTGAAATAAATCAAAACCTATAGAATCTAATCCTTAATCTTTTGAAGAAGACACTTAACACTTTAAGCCAAAGACTATCAGTGACTCAGCTAGAGTCATCAGTGCCTAAATAAGAGATCCAAATTCTATTACTCTTTCTTTCACATTTTCTCTTTTCATTTCTAGATTTCTTTTTTACCTTGGATAAGTCAGTTCTCTCATGACCAAACAACTTTGCTTTGATCTCTTCTACTTTTCTCCTGTCATCTTCATTTAATTCTGAAATGGAGTAGTCACACTCACGAGCCATATTAAACTTCAGATTCCAGGCTAAAGAGAAAGCATAAAAACACTTGAGATAATACAATGCAAAAGTGAGAATTTTTCAGTGATTATAAGAGCATAAAAGATCATCATTATACCTAAATTAATGGTTCCCACATGCTTAGCAAAAAGTATGTGGTCTAAATTATATGACAAACTACTAGAAGTTCTAGAGAGATCATTTCATTGAAGAGTCTGATTTCTTTAAAAGCACATTCTACAGATTTTTCTCCAACGAGGCCACTTTAATATGGCAATCATTTTTATTCCAATTTTCTTTTCATCAGAACAGTCCCTTTGCCTTCCCCATTACCTCCTGCTACAGTTTCTGCCACTTCCACAAGAGCTGATATTTTAAAATAAATAAAACTTGGGGAGTTTTTTAGCAAATCAAAATGTGCTTAAGTGATAAAAGGAATGGCTGGCTTATGCAGTTCATCTCAACGAAAGATTCCCAGGAAAGTCTGGATTGCTTGTAAGTTACCCTTCCAAATAAACTCCCCACATTGTCATGAATATTTTTTAATGGAATTTTATTAGAGATTAAAAGGATTAATAAATATTCACTTCCAACCTCTAAGCCAAGTTCTAGTGTGAAATACCTTGATTAGTTTTTCCCAATGTCTACCTGAGATCTGCTCCTAGAATTTTATTATCAAAGGGGATGAGAAAGTACATGTAGTTTTATTATACAGTGGTTTAAAGCAGAGCAAACTGTTGGTGTTTTTTTTTTTGTTTGTTTGTTTTTAATTTTAGTCATTCTAATGGGTGTGATGTGGCATCATGGTTTTGATTTGCAATTCCCTAATGACTAATGGTGTTGATCATCTTTCTTTTTTTTTTATAAATATATTTTATTGATTTTGTACAGAGAGGAAGGGAGAGAGATAGAGCTAGAAAAGTCGATGAGAGAGAAACATCGACCAGCTGCCTCTTGCACACCCCCTACTGGGGATGTGCCCGCAACCAATGTACATGCCCTTGACCGGAATTGAACCCGGGACCTTTCAGTCTGCAGACCGATGCTCTATTACTGAGCCAAACCGGTTTCGGCTGGGTTGTTTTTTTCTGCCTCCAAAATAAGGATACTATCATGGGAGGATTAGGGAAAACATGAGCACTTTGGGAGTTAAGAAATTCAAGCTCTCTACTATCTCTCCTCTCTTTCTGACATCAGAACAAACTTTTCCTAAGTCCCTAAACTCCGACTAGCACTACTAATCTTGTGAGTTAGCTGTATTATTGGTTTAAATAGGCTTATTTTGGATTGCAGTAGAAAATTCAATCATCCTAACAGTTCTACAAGAAAATAAATTTAGAATGTCAAATACTTAACTTTGAATAAATTATTAAACTACATCATTTATAAGCTTCATTTGCCTTTATAACAGATAATCAGTTCCTACCTCGTGCTCGTACCCGGGATTCCTCTTCCTCTGCATTTCTGAGAATTTGTTTAGCATGGTTCAATGAGGATTCACATTTCAGAAGGTTTTTCACGTGTGCAGCCAGTGAATCCACACTACTACCATGCCCTTCATCACTCTCTGACACACATTCTTCCTCTCTGCTATCTGTCATGCTTGTCTTCGGTGAAGAATATGGAAACAAGTTTAGAAGAACATCAGAAACGGATTCAAAGGAATTACTTTCCCACGAGCAGGAACTTACATCACTACTTGAATCGCTTTTTATGAGAGTCATCATAGGGATAAGAATTTTATTCCCGAGGGTTCCACTGCACCCTTCAGGTTCAGATCTCATTACAGATCTGGCTGCTTTATATTGCCGAAGGGTTTCATCCAATGACATTCTGGCTTTGATTTCTGCTTCCTGTAGAGGATTTCTAACTGTAGCTGATCTAACAAACTCCCAATTTTCAATGCCTCCTTGGCATTTCATATTTGTCTGTGTACTAATATTCTTCTGTAGGTATTTGTTTGGATTTTCTTCTATGAATGGCTTTCTCTGAGGCAAATCAATGTTAGGTTCATCAGTTATAGGGGGTTCTTTGAAGCAAACAACCTTCTTAGATTGAATACATGAAATGTCATTAACATCTCTGAATGGTACAAGGGGAGCAGGAAAATTGCATCGTTTCAGTGCTATATTTTCTGCCTCCATTAAAAGGGTCCGAATCTCTTTAAGAGTTTTAGAACCATTATCTGTACCCTGGAATTCCTCAGAGCCAGTATCTTCAAAGCCTGAAGGTTCTGGCTTATTTATTACAACTCTACCATCAGCTTGAGAATTTAAGGGCATATTGTTTGAGATAATACTAGAGTTAGAAGAATGATCTATAGGCCTTTGGACATGGTCTGAAACAAGTTTGTGCCTATCACTATGTGAATAAGTACCAGGGTAAACTGATGATAACCCAGTAATCTGATCAGCTTGCCCAAGACCACTTGAGAACTTCAAAGCATCTTTAGTCAGACGTCTATCTGGCAAATCCTGTTCATAGAATTTATTTTGTTTTTCTCTGTGTGAAAAAAAATGAGGAGCATTTAGATATTTGTCTGACAATTCCTGAGGATAGACAATATTAGAGTTTTCTCTGTGTGAATAGGAACTAGGAAGATGTATTGGTACTCTAGAATTCACATCATTTGATTCAGGAACAGATGAGATCTTCTGAATATCTTCACTATGTTGTCTATTTAGCAAATGCTGTTTAAAGAAAATACTGGGCTTTACTTTCTCAGAATAAGAATTACCAAACACTGTCAGTAATGAAGTCTGCCGGCCTTCTGGTTCAACCACAGCTAAATTCTTGGGTTTCTCTATCTGTGCGTAGGAAATGAGGTGAGCTGTTGGAAGTTCAGTTTTCTGGTCATCTGGTAAAATCACAGTTGAAATCCTAGGTTTCTCTTTATGTGAATAAGAACTTGAAGATCCTTCTGGTATCTCAGTCTTCTGGTCAACTGGTTCAGGAAGAGGAAAAACTTTTAAAGCTTCCTCAGTAATACCTGGCAACTCCTGCTGATAAAAAATATTGCCCTTCTCTCTATATGAAGAGGAACCTGAGGGGATTATTCGTATCCCAGTCTTCTGGTCAGTTGGTCCAGGAATAGCTGAAACTTCCAAAGTTTTTTCAGTAATATCTGGAAACTCCTGGTAAGAAATGATGGGGCTCTCTCCATATAAGTAAGAAGAGGGCACAATTCGTATACCAGTCTTCTGGTCAACTGATCCAGAAATTGCTAAAAGTTTTGAAGCATCTTCATTATGATTTGGCAATTCTTGCTGATAAGAAATGATAGGCTTCTCTCCAAGAGAGTAAGTAGAAGTTACTATTGGTATCCCAGTTTTCTGCTCAGCTGGTCCAGAAACCCCTAAAACTTTTAAAGCCTCTTTAGTAAGATCTTGCTGGTAAGAAATGATGGGCTTCTCTCCATATGAATAGGAAACTGATGATACTGTAGGTATCCCAGTTTTCTGGTCAGCTAATCCAGGAACACCTGAAACTTTCAGAGCCTCTTCAGTTAGATGACTACCTAACAATTCCTGTTGGTAAGAAATAATAGGCTTTTCTTTCTGTGAGTAAGAAGCAGATATTTCTGTTGGCTTTCTGGTATTCTGGTTACCTGGTTCAGGAACAGCTGAAACTTTCAGAGCCTCTAGAGTTAGCGGACTGTCGGGCAAGGCCTGTTGGTAATAAACAATGGGCTTTTCTTTACTTGAGTAGGAAGCAGCGGTCACTGCTGGTATTCCGGTCTTCTGGTAACCTGGGAGAGAAACAGCTGAAACTTTCAGAGTTTCTTCAGTTAGCTGACCATCGGGCAAGGCCTGCGGGTAGAAAAGAAAGGGCTTTTCTCTATGAGAGTGGGAAGTAGAGGATTCTACAGGTAACCCAGTCTTCTGGTCAGCTGGTCCAGAAGTAGAAACATTCAGAGCCTCTTCTGTGAGATGTCTATCTGGTAAAGCCTGTTGGTGAAAAATAATGGACTTCTCTCCAAGTGAGTAGGAATTTGGAGATACTGTTGATATCGCAGGATTCTGATGACCTGTCCCAGGAATAGCTGAGACTTTCAGAGCCTTTTCAGTAAGATGACTATCTGGCAACCCTTGTTGGTAGGAAATACTGGACTTTTCTCCGGGTAAGGAGAAACTAGAAGGTTCTAATGGCAACCCAGTCTTCTGGTCAGCTGGTCCAGAAACAGCTGAAACCTTTAGAGCCTCTTCAAGTAGGTGACTATCTGGCAAGGCCTGTGGTGAGATGATAATATGCTTCTCTCTCTGTGGAAAGGAAGTAGAGGATAATGTTCGTATCCCAGGATTCTGGTCCGCTGGTCCAGAAATGGGGGAAACTTTCAGGGCCTCTTCAGATAAATGAGTGCCTGGTAAGGCCTGTGGATAAGAAAGAATGGGCTTCTCTCTCTGTGAGTAGGAACTAGAGGGTACTGTTAATATACCAGTCTTCTGGTCACCTTGTATAGGAGATGAAACTTTCAGAGACTTTTCAGTCGAATGACTATCTGGTAATGCCTGCTGGTAAAAAAGAGTGGGTTTCTCTCTAGGTGAGTAGGCACTAGATGGTACTGTTTGTATCCCAGTGTTCTGGTCAGTTTGTCCAGGAATAGATGAAATTCTCTGAGCTTGTTCAGTTAGATGACTGTCTGGCAACTTCTGCTGATAGAAAAAACTGGTATTGCCTTTAGGTGAGTAGGAAGTAGGGGGTGCTGTTGGTATCCCAGTCTTCTGCTGAGCTAGTCCAGGAACAGCAAAAAACTTCTGAGCCTCTTTAGATAAAGGAGCCTCTTTTGTTAAATGACCAACTGGCAGCTCCTGTTGGTAGATAATATTGGGCTTATCTCTCTGTGAGGAAGAAATAGAGGTTAATGTAGGTGTGACACCCTTCTTGTCAACAAGTCCAGAAGCAGCTGAAACTTTCAGAGCCTGTTCAGTTAGTTGACTTTCTGGCAATGTCTGTTGATAAAAAATATTGAGCTTCTCTCCATTTGAGTAAGAAGTTGAGGTTCCAATATTCTGGTCAACTTCCTCAGACCGTTCAGCTAGATGGCTCTCTGGCAACTCTTGCTGATAGAAAACACTGGGATTCTCTCCATGTAGAAAAGTAGAGGTTCCTATTGGTATCCCAGCCTTCTGGTCAGCAAATCTATATACAGATGCAGCTTGTTGAGACTGTTCAGTTAGACGACTCTCAGGCAATATCTGTTGATACAAAATATGGGACTTCTCTCCAGGTAAGTAAGATGAGGTTCCTGTTGGTATCCCAGTCTTCTGATTAGTAAATCCAGAGACAGCTGTAGCTTGTTGAGACTGTTCAGTCGGATGACTGTCTGACAACTCTTGCTGGTAAAAAATACTGGGCTTCACTCTAGGTGAGTACGTAGAGGATACTATTGGTATGCCTGTTTTCTGTTCTGTGGATCCAGGAGCAAAAGAAACTTTCAGAGCCTGCTCAGTTAGATGATTTTCTGGAAATGTCTGTTGATAGAAAATATGGGGCTTCTCTCTTTGTGAGTAAGGTGAGGTTCCTGTTGGTATCCCAGTCTTCTGGCCAGCAAATCCAGAGACAGCAGCAGCTTGTTGAGCCTGTTCAGTTAGATGACTCTCGGGCAATGTCTGCTGATAGAAAATATAGGGCTTCTCTCCATGTGAGTAAGATGAGGTTCCTGTTGGTATCCCAGTCTTCTGGTCAGTAAATCCAGAGACAGCTGTAGCTTGTTGAAACTGTTCAGTTGGATGACTGTCTGGCAACTCTTGCTGGTAAAAAATACCGGGCTTCTCTTTATGTGAATAAGTAGAGGATACTATTGGTATGCCTGTTTTCTGTTCTGTGGATCCAGGAGCAACAGAAACTTTCACAGTCTGCTCAGTTAGATGACTTTCTGGAAACGTCTGTTGATAGAAAACATGGGGCTTCTCTCCATGTGAGTATAAAGTAGAGGATACTGTTGGTATCGCAGTGGCTTGACCAGCTGGCCCAGGAACAAATGAACCTTTCAGAGCCTGTTCAGTTAGAAGACTGTCTGGTACCAGTGGCTGAGAAAAAACTAGGTTTTTCTCTCTAACTGTAGGGGAACTAGCAGGTACTGTTGTTTTCTCACTCTTCTGGTCAACCGATCCAATAACACCTGAATCTCTTAGAGCCTCTTCAATTTGATGATTGTCTCTCAAGGCCTGTGGGTAGAAAATATTTGGCTTCTCTCTTAGTGAGTAGGAATTAAAGGGTACTGTTGAAATCTCTGCCTTCTGGTCAGCTAGTTTTGGAACAGCTAAGGCTTGTAGAGTCTCTTCAGTTACATGACCATTTGCCAATATCCGTTGGTTGAGATTATCAGTATGTATACCAATAGTATTCTCCACAGAAGACCTTACAGCCAATTGAGAAAAGTCCTCAGAAGACAAGGGTAAATGAGATCCAATGCCTGAGTCTCCAGAAGTGGTAGTGATGTCAGTTTTCAAGTTGGATTGAGTAATTTCACTTATGTCTCCTTTAGAAGTATCTCCTAAAGAATAAGAAATTTGTTAATGGTACATGTTGTTTTAATTGAAAAATATTTCTTGCCCTGGCTGGTTTGGATCAGTTGGTTGGAATGATATTCCATACACTGAAAGGTCACGGGTTTGATTCCCAGTTAGGACACATAACCAAGTTGTGGGTTCAATCATTGGTTTGGGTGCATACGACAGGCAACCTATGGATGTTCTCCTTCTCCCCCCCACCCCCCACCTTTCTCTCTCTTCCTCCTTCCCTACCTCTTTCTCTCTAAAAAAAAAAAAAATCAATAAAAACATGTCCTGTGAGGATTAAAAACACACACACACACACACAAAAAAAAACCCTGGTATCTGGACCCCCATAAGAAAAAGATTCCATTGGTCTAGGGCCGTGGTCGGCAAACTGTTGCTTGCAAGCCACATGCAGCTCTTTGGCCCCTTGAGTGTGGCTCTTCCACAAAATACCACGGCTTGGGTGAGTCTATTTTGAAGAAGTGCCATTAGAAGTTGTTTAAGTTTAAAATGTGGCTCTCAAAAAAAATTTCAATCGTTGTACTGTTGATATTTGGCTCTGTGGACTAATGAGTTTGCCGACCACTGGTCTAGGGTGTAGTCTATTCATTAGTATAAAAAAGAAAAAAAAAAAAAAGAAAAAGCTTTTCTTCCTTGGGACTTTATATTCTAGAAAGGAATCCTAAAGAAATCCTACATAATAAAAGTCTAATATGCAAAGTATCCAATTGGCTGTCCAACCAATCAAAGTGTAATATGCTAATGATATGCTAAGGCCGCTCAATTGCTCGCTATTAATTGTACACTGACCACTTAGGAGCAGATAGTTGACTGGTTGAACAGTCACTTTGACATGCACTGACCACCAGGAGGCAGACAGTTAACCAGTATACCAGTTGCTACGACATGCACTGACCACCCAACCTGTAGGTTAGCCTGCTACTGGGGTCCAGCCAATTGGGACTGAGTAAGATGGGCCAGACATGCCCCAGAGCCCTCCCATGCTCCCTCCCTCACTGGCCAACCTTCTGTGTTCCTTCCCTGGCCCCGATCATGCATTGGTAAGGTCCCTCAGCCTGGCCTGTGCCTCTCACAATCCAGGACCCCTCAGGATGTCAGAGAGTTGGTTTCGGCCCAATCCCTCAGGCCAGGCGGAGGAACCCCACTGGTGCATGAATTCACCAGTACAGCAGCTGCCTACCTTTTGGACCTCGAGGACCACAGTAGTCTGCGGACCACTAGTTGGTGACCCCTGCTCCAAAGGTTTTCTTAAACCAGCGGTCACCGACCTTTCAGACCTTATGGACCACCAGTGGTCCGCAGACCACCAGTTGGCGACCACTGATTTAGCAGTCAATTAAAGACACGAATATTTACACTCAAAGATAATTATTACAAAGACATTTAAAGCAGCAATCTAATGCATACTCAACAACAGAATTATATTATAGATTAAAAATGTCAGTATAGACATTTGATGAAATATTATGCAGATTTTAGGTGATTTATAAAGAATTTTCAATGTGATGTGAAAATACTGTTTACTCTGGGATTTGATTTCACACTATTTATAAGCTAACAAGTTAGCCTTTTACTGTGTCATGTATGCTAGCAGAAGATATGACATTCCTCAATTACAACAAAATATTTTATTTCATGGCATAGCAAAGGATCATCAGCTTATTTTCATGGGTTTCTCTTTTCCCCAAGTCCTACAAGGGCAATGCAATATGGCCCAGACGGATGCTATGCATGCAGTGGGTTTAAGTGGCTTGGCTAATAAGTGTACCCATAATAAGACATGTATTTTTAACTATATGAAACTGTAAACTCTAAAGCTTACACTAAGAAGTTTGAACTTAATTCTATATGGCACAGGGAATTATTGATAGACATGAGCAGACCTATATTGTATAAATACAAGTTCTGAATTGGAAAGGGAATACAAAAGTGTAAGCAGTACTGTCTCATCCATCTTTCTGCAACAATGGAAATGCAGTATATTTGTATTGTCAAAAGAAAGTAAATAATTCTAAATAAAAATAGTTCTGAATGGCAAAGGAAAATAAACGAATACAATAGAAATGGCAATATTTGACAAAAAATGCATTCATTTGTTCATTAAAAAAAATTGTTTACTACGGGCCAGTCAGTATTCTAGATGTAGAAAATAGGAGCAATAAATAAACAAACAAAGCTTACATTCTAATTAAAAACAGAGAATAAGTAAACTGGCAAAACATATGGGAGCAAAATGACTGGTACAGCCAGCAAATATTAGCTATACTTTATAAATAGGAAAATCAAGTTTCAATGATAACGATTTAACAGTGTTGGTCAATGTAAAGATCTTAGATTCTAATTCAGTAGATCTGGGGTGGAATCTCAAATTCTGCATTTCTAACAAGCTCCCAGGTAATACCCAATATTATTGGTCCTTAGATGACATTTTGAGTAACAAACATATTTTCCTAGAGTTGTACAGTGAGTAAATGAAAAAAACAGACACGTTAGCTTTCTAATGAACTCTTTTTACTACAATTGACTGCCATTCTAAACCCACTGGTGAGCTTCAAATAAGGAGCTGGGAAATAGAATGGAATGAGAACTGAACTGTAAAGTAAAAAAGTAGAAATACCAAGTATTAAATTCAAGAAAACAAAAAGAAAATAATGTACACTGCATAGTAACTTTAGAAGGATATGAGTTATGAAATTTTGTGGAAAAAAAAAAGGGTCAAGAAATGAATAAATCAAAACATATTAATGAGCTGAACAACTAATGGGTCAAAGAAAAAAAGAGGGGAAAAATATCCCCAAGACAACTGAAAATGTAAATACAACATCCCAAAACTTATGGGATGCGATAAAAGCAGTTCTAGGAGGGAAGTTTACAGGAAAAAGTGCCTATATCAAGAGACAAGAAAAGTCTCCAGTAACCTAACTTTATATCTTAAAGAAGGAAAAAGATAAAGCACAAGTTAGCAGAAGGAAGGAAATAAAAAAGATCAGGGCAGAAATAAATGCCAAAGACTGAAAAAGTCAATGAAATTAAGATACGATTCTTTTAAAAGATAAACAATTGACAAACCTTTAGCTAGACTTACCAAGAAAAAAAAGAGAGAGATAGGACTCAATTAAAATCAGAAATAAAAGAGAAGACATTCAAAATAGTGGCAGAGTAGGTAAAAAGTATACACATCCCCTCTCAGAAACAAAATGAAATTAAAACTAAAATAAAGAACAATCAAACTGCATAACCAACTGAAAATTAGATGAAGAGAAGTCTTATAATCAAGGATTTACAGAAGAAGCAACACCAAGACTGGTAGAAAGAGTGGAAACACAAAAACGGCAGGCCCCATTCCCTTTTTGTGGTGGCTGAGATTCTGGAGGGATATCTCAACTGCAAAGGCTCCCCCTCAGGAGTGTGGAGTTCTGACCCACACCAAACATACCAGCCCAGAGCACCAGAATTGGAAAGAGGCACCCACATAACATCTGGCTGTGAAAATCAGAATAAAAAAACAACACACAGAAAACATTAAAAAAAAACAACAACAACTGAAGAGCCTGGCATGCATGGCTCAGTGGCTGTGTATCAACCTATGAACCAGGAAGTCATGGGGCACATACCCAGGTTGCAGGCTTGATCCCCAGTATGGAACATGGAGGAAGCCAATCAATGATTCTCTCTTATCATTAATGTTTCTATCTCTCTTTCCCTCTCACTTCCTCTCTGAAATCAATAAAAATATTTTTTAATATATTTTATTGATTTTTTTACAGAGAGAAAGAGAGGGATACAGAGTTAGAAACAGAGTTAGAAACATCGATAAGAGAGAATCATCAATCAGCTGCCTCTTGCACACCCCCTATTGGGGATGTGCCTGCAACCAAGGTAAATGCCCTTGACCGGAATTGAATTTGGGACTTTTCAGTCCGAAGGCTGACGTTCTATCCAATGAGCCAAACCAGTATCAGCAATAAAAATATTTTTTAATGAAGAATACAATAACTGAAATGAAAAATATACTAGAAGGAATAAATAGTAAGTTTGATGAAGCAGAGGATGGAATCAGCCATTTGGAAGACAAGGTATCAAAAAAACACCCAATCAGGGGAGAAAAAAAAAAAAAAAAAGAATAGTAAAAAACGAGGATAGTAGCCCTGGTGGCTTTGGCTCAGGGGTTAGAGCGTTAACCTGTGGACAAAAGGGTCAGGATATGATTCCTGCTCAAGGGCACATACCTGGGTTGCAAGTTCCAAATCCAGCCCTTCAGTGCACATGCAGGAGACAACTAATTGGTGGGCCTCTCTCACATTGATGTTTCTCTCTCTGTGCCTCTTCCCCTCCTTCCCACCTCTCTCTTAAAAAAAAAAAAATCAATGGAAAATATATCCTCAGGTGAGGATTAACAACAAAACAAAACAACAACAAAAATGGGGATAATTTAAAGGACGTGTGGGACAACATGAAGCATAACATCTTCATCACAGGGGTACAAGAAGGAGAGGACAGAGAGCAAATAGACACCATATTTGAAACATTACTGGCTGAAAACTTCCCTAACCTGGTTAAAAAAAAGATACACAAGTCTAGGAAGCACAGAGAGTCCCAAACAACTTGAACCTAAAGATATACACACCAAGACATATCACAATTAAAATGCAAAGGTTAAAGACAAAAAAAAAAAAAAAAAAAAGAATCTTAAACGCAGGAAGTGAAAGACAGTTGTCTACAAGGGAACACCTATACTGTCAAGCTGATTTCTCAACAGACGCATTTCTGGCCAGAAGGTACTGGCATGAAATATTCAAAGTGATGAAAAGCACCCTAGCCAGTTTGATTCAGTGGAAGAGTGTCAGCCTGCAGACTGAAAAGTCTGGGGTTTGATTCCAGTCATTGGCATGTACCTCAGCTGCAGGCTTGAAACCTGGTCCTGGTCAGGGAGGCAAACAATTGATGTGTCTTTCTCACATTGGCATTTCTCTGTCTCTCACTCTCCCTTCCATTCTTTCTAAAAACCAATGGAACATTATTCTTGGGTGAGCATTAACAAGTGATAAAATGCAAAGACCTACATTTTACCTAGAAAGATTATCATTTAAAATTGAGGGAGAAATAAAGAGCTTCCAGACAAGAAAAAAGTAAAGAGTGCATCACCGCCAAACTAGTATTACAAGAAATGTTAAAGGGTCTTCTGTAAGAACAAAAATAACTAGAGGAACATAGTTATCTACACTAATAAGGCTTAACTACAACGAGACTGTGCACACAGCCCACAAAGGGATGCACCAAGAGTGTCCACCTCAGGTAAGTGGGAGGCCGACCCACTGGGCTATATAGGACACCTAGCACACAAAGCCACCCTACCAACTCAGGGAAGCAGCCAAAATGCGGAGACAAAGTAACAGATGATGAACAAAAGAAATGGAGGAAAACAAACAACTGGAGATAGAGTTCAAAACCATGATTATAAGATTTTTCAATAATTTCCTAGAAAAGGCAGATAAATTTAGCAAGACCCTTGAGGATATGAAAAAGAACCAACTAGAAATTAAACATATACTGACTGAAATAAAAAAATATTGTTATACAGAGACCCAACAGCAGACTAGAGGAATGCAAGAATCAAGTCAAAGATTTGAAATACAAAGAAGCAGAACACTTAACCAGAAAAGCAAAAGGAAAAAAAAATACAAAAATTTGAAGACAGTGTAAGAAGCCTCTTGGACAACTTCAAGGGTACCAACATCTGAATTATGGGGATGCCAGAAGAAGAGAGAGAGCAAGATACTGAAAACCTATTTGAAGAAATAGTGACAGAAAGCTTCTCCCACCTGGTGAAAGAAATAGACTTACAAGTCTAGGAAGCGCACAGAACCCCAAACAAAAGGAATTCAAAGAGGACCACACCAAGACATATTATAATAAAATGCCAAAAGCAAAAGACAAAGAGAGAATATTAAAAGCAGCAAGAGGAAAATAGTTACCCACACGACTGTCAGCTGATTTCTCAACAGAAACTATGCAGGCCAGATGGGAGTGGAAAGAAATATTCAAAGTGATGACCCTACAACCAAGATTACTCTAGCCAGCAAAGCTATCATTCAGAATTGAAGGTCAGATAAAGAACTTCACAGATAAGAAAAAGCTAAAGGAGTTCATCACCACCAAATCAGTATTATATGAAATGCTGAAAGGTATTCTTTAAGAAGAGGAAGAAAAAGAAAAAGTAAAGATAAAAATTATGAACAACAAATACATATCAACAAGTGAATCTAAAAATCAAGTGAATAAAAAATCTGATGGACAGAATAAACTGGTGAATTTATATTTATATTTTTATAATATTATATTTATATTTGAATTTATATTTAATTAGAATCAGGGGCATAGAAAGGGAGTGGACTGACAATTCTTGGGGGGAAACGAGTAGGGGACCAAAATCATACATCTATGGATAAGGACAGTGGGGGAAGAGTTAAAGGCAGGGGGTGGGGTGGGAACTGGGTGGAGGGGAGCTATGGGCAGAGAAAGGGGAGGGGGGGGAGAGAGACAATTAAAAGATTAAATTAAATAAATAAAACAACATATTTATTTGTAAGAAAAAAGACAAAGCTTTAGGACAAAATATGTTACTAGAATTAAAGGTCAATTTATAATCACACAAAGAAAGTTAATTCATCAAGGCATGTCATTATAAATTATAAAATATAAGCATAAAATCATTTAATATCATATCTCAAAATATTTCAAGCAAATCTAAAAGAAAAGAAGAGAGAAACAAACACTAATATTTGGAGACTTCAATACCTTACTTTCAGAAATGAAGAAAACAATTAGGCAAAGGATCAACAAGGATACAGAAGACTGGAACAGTATCAATTAACCAGAACTAGCAGATAAGTATGTATGGAACACACCACCTAACAACAGCAGAATGCACATTCTTCTCAAGTGCAAACTGTACATTCTACAGGACAGACTATATGTTAGGACATAAAACAAGCCTCAATAAAATTTAAAAACTGAAATCATACAAAGTATATATTCTCCAAAAACTGGAATGACATCTCAATAACAAAAGGAAACTCATAAGTATGTGAAATTAAACAACACACCTCCAGATAACCAGTGTCAATAACAAAGAAATATTATAATGGAAATTAGGCAATATTTAGATGAATTAAAACTAAAGTATGAAAAAGCAAAACTTAAGGCATGCAGCTAACAGTGTTTAAAAATGTATCTATGTAAAAACCTGAATTAGAAAGATCTCAGATCAATAACTTAACATTTCACCTTAAGAAATAGTAACAAGCTCAAATCAAAACTGAAGCAAGTGAAAATATGAAAATAATAGACTAAAATGGTAGTAAATGAAATAGAGATTTAAAAGGTAGAAGGAAAATTTTTAAAAAAAGCAGAGAAACCAATTTCTTTGAAAAGTACAGCAAAAAATTGACAAAATTCAGCTAGATTTACTAAAAGAGATAACTCTCCAATTACTAAAATCAGTAACAGGACATTACTACCAATGTCACAATGAATTCCTTCCCATTATTTTCTATCTTTCCCAAATAAACAAAAAAACATACAAATAAAACCTCCTTTCTTGAGGTTTAGGCCACACATAACTTCAATACCATCCTCCATCTATCATGTTCTTACAACTTCTAGTTGCTCCCATTCACTTTTTCAAGGTCTGGTGAACAGGCTTTCCTAAACCCCAAACACCACAAAAATCAGAAAATATTTAAACACAGTTAATCCAAATCTAGCCTCAAAATCTCAATTTATTTTATCCCAGTGGTCTTTATTCAACTTCTAACCAATCCCCTCAGGGCCAACCAATGGATCTTATCACCCTTCAAACTGACACGAATTTAAATGTAGTTAACTCACTCTGACCAAAATTACCCATTCTTCTAGCTCTCTCAGTAACTCATACCCACATCCTCTATTCAACTTCATAAAGAAACCTCTGTTCCTTTATTTTCTTCTAGACTAACAATTCTCCTGACTTCTTTTCTTTTCCAATGCAGGCTGAAACAAATAGCTGATTAACTCTTCCCTCACTTATTCCTTTCCACTGCTGTCCTTCCACCACACAAATCCCTCTACCAAGAATTAACTTTCTCTATTCCTGAGTTACAGTAAAGAAAAATGAGAGATGCTATACAGGCTGACATTATAAAATCATTTCTGAACTCAACTGACTTCAGAACTGCCTGAAAATCCTTTTGCTTGTCTTTATTTTATTTATTTATTTTAAAAAATATATATTTTATTGATAATTTTACAGAGAGGAAAGGAGAGAGCTAGAGAGCTAGAAACGTCGATGAGAGAGAAACATCGACCAGCTGCCTCTTGCACACCCCCTACCGGGGATGTGCTTGCAACCAATGTACATGCCCCTGACTGGAATCGAACCTGGGACCTTTCAGTCCGCAGACCAACGCTCTACCACTGAGCCAAACTGGTTTCGGTCTTTTGCTTGTCTTTAGTTCCATCTCCTATTTATTTCAACATAAATTCTGAGCCTTCACCAAGGCACTTTCCTCTCAGTCCCCACAACCTCTCCTGTCCCCACAACCCATAGCAGGTAAGATTACCTTGTTTTCTGTCTCAAAACTTAGCTCTCAATTTCCTCTCTACAAATTTATTATCCTCTCATGCTCAATAATTTCCCCCTTCAAATCACAGAAAGAAATATAGAAACAAACTGATGTTAATTCAGGCTTGTCCATGTAATTCAGTTCTAAACACTATCATGAAAAAAGCAATTAAATAAAAAAGATTCATCTAATGAAAGAGACCTATACATTTATAAATACACTTAATTCAGAGTTAACATTACTGCAGGAGTTCAAATATAAAAAAATAACCATAGCAAGACTTTTAACAAGCTAGTCATAAGGACATTTAATACCACCTTTTCCACATACCTGGTGAATGTTTTCGAGTCTTTGGCACAATCTCAGGAGATACCCTCAACATCCTGAGATCTGAAGAGTGAAATTCCAACTTTCTGTTTGGCTCATGAGTAACAAATGGAGGTAATACAGATGAAAAAGACTGACTAATGTCCTATGAAAAGAGATTTTTTTTAAAAAGAAAGATGATTAATTTTAGACATCTGTTAAAATACAATCAATAAAATCAATCAATAAAAATTTTTTAAATTATAAAATAAATAAATAAAAATATTTGAATATTTCTAGGGTCTATTCCAAGGTTTGTACATTGAAGACCAGAGAGGGAAAAGGCACAAATCAACGTCTCCATTTTTAACACTGTCCCAAAGGTTCTTGTGGGCACAACTTGGAAAAGTTAAGATGCCTGGGATAAAGACCTGGAGGCACCAAAGAATGGCTTTTTCCAAGACACCACAGAATTCATTAAGTCTTACAGTCTACAAAATACCAACATTTCTTTTATGCCAATCTCTAACAAGTTAAGTATATTCCTGCATATCAGATGAAGACCAGATTACAAATCACAAGTTGATATTAGATCACCAGATATTAGGACCTCCCGGACCACCAGTGATCAGCAGACCACTGATTGGCAAACGCTGCTCCAAAGGTTTCCTTAAACCAGTGATCACCAACCTTCTGGACCTCTCGGACCACCAGTTGGCAACTTGTGTATTAGAGGACATAAATGGGCACTTTTACCGCTAATTTTCAACTGAAATATTTGTTTCCCTTCCCCATAAGAAACATCATATAGAAAAACTTACAGGCTCTTCCTCCGATGGTAGCTGTAAATCAGATTGCCACGGCAGGGAGACATCATAAATTTCTAGATCATCAAGCATATTTTCTAAACCTGCTAGCTCAATGCACTTCCCAGTCACATCACATTGGTCACTTATCTGGGAAAGAGTAACAAGTAAAATAAAAACAAGTAACAATCCATTTCCTGAAACAAAACTGGAAAAGACTGTTTTCCCCAATTATCATTTGTGTCTCACCTCTCTTTGTAGTTCGGTAGATCTTTCACTGCATACAACAGCATTTTCATCTAGGCTACAGCATTCAATATCATCACCCACAGAATAGATGTCAGATTCAGCCTTCCCCTGCAGGCCCTCTATAAAACAGGAGTCATTTTGAATAGTTGTATGTATTGTAAGACTGGATTCGCCACCCAGAGGCCAAGGAATTTCACCTAGGCCTATATCAGCTTTCAGCAATGTCTCCCGACTAACTGTAATTAATGATGCAGCATTGATCATTGGTAAGGTACCTTGTTACTTTGCATCATGTCACCAAGTTTGCTGACAAGCTACTTTCTGTATCTGCAGATGGATCTTCAATGACATGACTAAGAATTTACATTCTTACCCAAAATATAGTTTGAGGAATCTGCATCTTCTTCAAAGGTTTGCTGCTTTAAATCTTGAGAAAACAAAGAATCTGAAGTTGATACTTCCAGTGGGTAAATAATGTTTGAAGATCCTGCCTTCTCTGCAAGGTCAAGAGCAGAAAAATACTTTATCTTCCCAATGGGAAGAAATAGTTCATTGTCTACAACACACTGAAATAAAGCTGTGTTTTGCAAAGACCAACAATCTGGCTGTGAGAATTTTCACTTAAAGACACATGTGACTTAAGTTCTAGAATAAAAGAAAGTGGCTTAAAGAACATTTCCTGAGGAGCACTGGGGAATGATTTTATATTAGGAAACCAGTACAGGGAACTAACATCATCATCATTTTTATGTTACAATGGCTTTAAAGCTTCTGATTCAAACACCCTGGGAGTAGATTGATAGTATGGATGACTAAGTTTATCAACGAAAGAATTTTCATCTTTGTAATTTAATAGGAAAATACCTGAACTTTTTGGTTCACCTTCTTGGCTGTCATTTGTCACAGATTTATTGATGTCAGTTTGGATTTCATTTACTATACTCTCTTCCTTGAAAATCGCAATAGAGGCAATAACTGCCTCAAAGGCTAGATTTGCAATAGCATCAACATTTTTCCCTCCAAAAGCAGCACTTGCCTTTTGGTTTCTTTCCTCTTGAAAATATAGTTCTGATATGTTCTGATATCACATCCAAGCTAGATGTAATAGTATGAAGAGGACCACCAAAAGTCTCTACATTAGAGATATCAAGTCCCCTGGAGAGAGTATGTGTTTCTGAAACTTTGAAGAAATTATCAGGAACTACAACATCCTCCATATATTCTATTTCTGAAGATCTGGGACACACCTCTGAATATAATAAAGTACTGCTATTCTCCGTTAGTTCAAAACATTGAGATAATTCTTTCCCAAAACCTTCATTTCTTTCATAACACTCCAAAGAAACCATCTTTTGTTTCATCTCATTCTCAGCTGGAGCCCTTAAATAAACATTCTCAAAATCACTATCAGATATCAAGGGAACCCTTTTCTAACAAGCAATGCAAGAAAGAATTTGACATTATTAAAATGAGGAGCAATTTCATGTGGAAAAGAAACATGATTCTTACTGACTAGACATGTTTCTGGATAGTGTGAAGCTCCCTGTTTGGTCCATGGCATAAATGAAAAGGGAACATTAAAATTGTCACTCTCCTCAGGACTTTTATTTTTATCAATTGTATCAGATGAATCTGAGCAGGAATCATGGTCCTTACTGGTTAAATATTTTTCTGACTGCTGTAAAGCTTCCTGTTTCAAAGGGTGCACATCTGAACAAGCATCAAAACTGTCACTTTCTTTAGGAGTTACATATTCATCAACTGTATCAGATGAAGTTGAAGAAAAATGATCTTTATCAGCTAAATTGGTTTCTGGCTCCTGTGTAACTTCTTTTATCTTCCATGACATATATGAACAAAGAGCACCATAACTATCAGAGTTTTTGGCAGTTTTCAGTTCATCAACTGTATAGGTTAAAACAGTCTCTTCTTTGGTTTCTTGCTCAGGATGTAAAAAAGAGCCCTGAGACTCAACATCTGTACACCCTATAAGTGTATGCTGAGATACATTAAAGCAACTGTTAACTAAGTCTGAAGCTACTTCTGAGGTTGCCTGGAATAAAGCTTCACTAACTTCCACCGGTCGAGAAAACCCTTCAGTGTCTTCGGACTTACCAGGAATTCCCCTGAAAAGATACAATTTTAAAAAAAGGGTTACATATTTTAAAAATTTATTTTTTTTCAATACCAACATGAAAAAATACAAAATTGATATGTCATTGCTATTAAGGTTATTTCCATAATGTGTTGAAAAACAAAGTTCTTATTCCAAATTCTTTTAAAATGACTGACTTAAACAAGGCAAATTGTTTTATAAACAGAAAAGTGCACCACCATCTGTGACCCTAATATTTTCTCAGACTTCTCTAAAACAATATTGTCAAATATATGAGTAATTTCATATCGGGGAAAAAAAAATTCTTTAAATGAAAATTTAAAATTCATTTAACCTGTATTAGCTCTATTACTAGTCATTTATTATGCTCTTAAAAACCACTTAAGAAGTTATCTACCCCCCCCTAAAAAAATACAACAGGAATCATTGGCTGACTACTGTTTACAAAACACTTTCCATAAAAGTAATTTAAAAGTAATATATAGCAAAAGGGCACATCAGTAAACTCCTAGTTTTTAGCTTAAGGTGTCATTTTTTTTTTTTTTTTTTTTTTTTTTTAGTTATAAAAAAGGAAAACATATTTTTGGATAATTTCAAATGTTTTAGAGAATTCCAAACTTGTCTCCCATCATAACTATGCTAAAGGACATTAATTTGGAATAATTATTAATTTGGACATCTTTGTTAGAAAAAAATCTTATTACTTCATATTCACAGCTATAAAATAAGGAAAGATAACAAGGCTCATTCAATATCAGCTGACCAAAATGAGAATGCCAAACAAGTTAGTGACCATGAAATAAATGATTTTTACAAAATGGGGTTGGGTCACAGAAAGCAAAAGGGGAGATTTATAAAAAGAAAAATCCAGTGTGCCTTCTAAATTAAAATATGCCTGAAAAGCTAGAATGTATTAGAAATTATTTTTAAATACACTATAGTAAACTGGTTCATTTTTACACATACATATGTTATCATGTCAAACTACTTTGCATAATGTCTTAACTTAGGGCAGTGGTTGGCAAATTGCAGCTCGAGAGCCACATGCAGCTCTTTGGCCCCTTGAGTTTTTAGCAAAGGCCAGCTTTAGGAGTACCTTAATTAAGTTAATAACAATGCATCTACCTATATAGTTTAAACTTAAAAAATTTGGCTCTCAAAAGAAATTTCAATTGTACTGTTGATATTGGCTCTGCTGACTAACAAGTTTGCCGACCACTGACTTAGGGGCATGTCACCTTCAGAGTGTGAGCTGAAACTACCTAACCCTTACCCCAAAGTCTCAACTTAGGCTGAAGTCATTAATATTAGTAACAACTAACAACAAAAAAAGCAAGGTAGAATGGTTACATGAAAATAAAAAAAATAAAAATCATTCTACCTCAGAGGTGCAAAATCTAGTTCACTTTGATGAAATATGGAATCAGGCCCAAACTCTTGGTCTTGTGTCAAACATGTCAGCAAAGGCAAATCAGGAGAAGTAAAGTTGTCTTGTATGACTGCAAAGTTTCAAATATAAAAATGTTGGAAATATTAAAAATAACTGTTTAGCACTCACAAATTACTTTAAAGAACCTAAACATGCTGCCATCTGGAAGTTTCTACAAACTTCAGTATAACAACATACCAGCAGCAGCAACTACCTGACAAGGTCCAGGTACTAAACATACAATGTCACTTAATCCTCATGACAATGTTGAAGGATGGGTATCATTATTTCCATCTTATAGGTAAGGAAACATGATTACAAAATTTAAGAAATATTAAGGGGGAAAAAAGAAATATTAAGTAATTTGTCCATCTTCAAAAAGCCTAAATGGCAGAGTGAGATCTGAGTCTAAGACTGAACTCTTTTTACAAGTGCTCTTAACCATTATGAGTGCTTCTTTCCATTGTATATCAAAGTGTTTTCCATGGGCTCCTGGGCATCCCTAAGACAATCTCAGGAGGTGCTGAGGGTCAAAATTATATTCAAAATAATATTAAGGCCCTGGCAGGGTAACTCAGTTGGTTTGTGCGTCATCTCATGTGGGTTCGATTCCAGGGCAGGGCACATACATAGGTTTCAGGTTCGATCCCTGGTTGGGGTGCATACGGGAGGCAACTGATTAATCCACATTAAACAAAAGGTCTTTAGAATCTTCAGTAACTTTAAAGTGTGTAAAATAGTCCTGTGACCAAAAAGTTTGAGAATTGCTGATTTAAGGGGGAAAAAATTGTTGTGAATTTCTGAATGCCAACCTAAGTAATTATTAGAATGCCCTTCAATGTTTACTAAATACAAAGTCAGTATTCTCTTATGGTATTTATAGAACTACAAAACAAAAAATTAAGCATTAATAAAAACAAATCTGTACAACCAACAGCATCCTATTTAATATTAATTTAACTGGATGGGTGATATTTTGCTAAAACTAAATGGTTCTATCAATATGCTATAATTTTGTTGCCATAGTTTACTTTCTTAATTTCAGAATGCCTATAATACTGTACACCTTCCCTATTATAACTATCACACTCTTGTTTTAATCTTTAGCCTATCTGCTTTCCACTTAAATTTAAAACTCCATGTCTGCTGCTATATTCACAGTAATATCTTCAGTGCCTAGCAAAATACCTGCTACACTTAGTAAGTATTCAAAATAGAATTGTTTATTACTTATTTACTGAATGATTTAATTAAAAATGAGAAACCTTTACCACCAATGACTAACTGGTATGATTCCTCTTTGGCCTTTGCTTAGAGACCCAGTCTTAATCCTTCATAACCTTCATAAGTCCTCCAACCCTTTAAGAATCCTAAGGTCTTTTAACAAAGACCCCACATTTCCTCACATTTGGACACTGTGATAGCTTGGACCACTCTTTTTTGAGATATTTGTCTCAGCACTGGTTTTCAATATGACATTTGTCATTGGTGAGACTTATATACCCCACAATGACTGTAGCATTCATGCATAACAAAATAGCAGTAATAAAATTTCCTCGGCCATCAGATCCAGGGATCTGCTCTAATCATTTAAAATGTAAATGAGAAGCTAGAGCTATACAACTTTATGTTAGCAAAAATTTTGGAAGCCAGACACACAATTTCCTACCCAATGCTGGAATTATTTTAATAAAGAATTTTGCTTGACTTTTGCCGTGATATAAGCTCACTTCTTTTAAAAATACATTTTATTAATCTTTTTTAGAGAGAAACAGAGAGGTAGGAAGAGAGGAGAGAGAAAGGGAGAGAGGAGGAGAAAGCAGGAGAGAGGGCAAAGAGAGGGAGAGAGACATTCATGTGAGAGGGAAACATTGATGGACTGCCTTCAGAACATCCCTTACTAGCAATCGAACCCATAACATAGGCACCACAAATGGGAATGGAACCAGCAAACTTTCAGTGCAAGGGATGACGCCCAACCAACTGAGACACATGGGCCAGAGCTAAGCTCACTTTTTTATTGTTATAATAGAGGCCCAGTGTTATACACTCAGGGCAGTCTTGCCCACTCCGAGGGGAGGGACCATGGGAGGTTGGCCAGCTTGAGGAGGTAGGCTGTGGGAGCACACTAACCACCAGGGGGCAGCTCCTGCATTGAGTGTCACTTCCTGGTGGTTAGTGCATGTCATAGGTATCAGCCATTCATCTGGTCAACCAGATTTCTGGGTGTAACAATCACTTAGGCTTTTATAGATAGATAGATAGATAGATAGATAGATAGATAGATAGATAGATAGATAGATAGATAGATAGATGATAGATAGATAGATAGATAGCCTTTCCATTATTAAATGACTCTAGTTGAACATTCTTTCTTATATCAAGTTTTAAAAAAAACTTATGTATTCTCATTTTAACCTCCAGATTAGGATTAGCAAATACTTTTACAAAAGGCCAGGTAGTATATATTTTAGACTTTGTTAGTCATACATGGTTTCTATTGCATATACTTTTATTGTTGTTCTTATAATCCTTTTAAAAATGCAAAATCCATTCTTAGCTCATAAAAAATAAGGCCTTGGCCTACAGTCTGTAATTTGCAAGCTTCTGCTGTACTCCATTAAAATACTCATACATGATACTATTAGTTTCTGTTTACTGAATTGTCTTCCCAAAAGAGTTAGATTTCATCTATATATATATTCCTAGCATCAAATATACAACACACACTTAGATATTTGTTAAATAAATGAATGAAAATAAGCTGCTTCCACTTTAGCATGACAACCTTTCGAAAACCTGATTATAGCAAAGCCTTCTTTCATCTACTATCATAGCCATTTCCTCCCACAAAGAAACACTAATGTTATCAACATATTTCTTTCTCTTTTTTTTAATATATTTTATTGATTTTTAACAGAGAGAAAGGGAGAGAGATAGAGAGCTAGAAACATCGATGAGAGAGAAACATCGACCAGCTGCCCTTGCACACCCCCTACCGGGGATGTGCCCACAACCATGGTACATGCTTTGAACCTGGGATCTTTCAGTCCGCAGACCAACGCTCTACCACTGAGCCAAATCGGCTTCGGCTCAACATATTTCTTAAAATGTGAAACTAAGATTAAAGTTGACTTTGATGATCAACATCACAGAATTCACTGGCACTAATTTTTTATTTGGATAGCATTAGCTTATGTTTGAATAGAACTGAAATTAGCCAAAACCGGTTTGGCTCTGTGGATAGAGTGTCTGTGGACTAAAGAGTCCCGGGTTCGATTCTAATCAAGGGCATATACCTTGGTTGTGGGCACATCCCCAGTAGGGGGTGTGCAAGAGGCAGCTGGTCGATGATTCTATCTTATTATTTCTAACTCTCTAGTTCTCTCTCTTCCTCTCTGTAAAAAAATCAATAAAATATATTTTTTAAAAAGAAAAAAAAAGAAAAGAACTTAAATTAATTCCTATTCTTCTTTAAAAAACTCTTGACAATTCATGTTTGAACCCATTTCTCTGACAAAAGCGAATTCTAAAAATTGTGGGGCTGTATTTTATTTTCAATTTTTGAAAACAAAATCTGAAGAAAGGAAAAGCAAAGAAATATTTGTCTGAATTATGATTTAGGCATGAAAAAAATTTTAATTACCAATTTGTTTAGCATTTTTATATATTTGCAATGATCCAAAGTAGTAAAAAAACAATTTATTCTATCTCCTATTTTGATTATTTGAGAGGCATTTAAAGTATACCTTTTGTAAAGAGCTTTTTAACAGTTTCATATACACCAAAGCAATAAGATCTACCTAAAACAAGTCATTTAACCCTGTATCTAAATTTTTGGTTCTGAAAACTGAGAATAACAACATATGCCATAATCAATTCTAAGAATCTAATAAGGTAAAGATGAACATTTGCTTTTTGGTTGTATTTTAAAGAGTATGGGTCTCCATTGCTGAATAGTCAAAGGATAACATGGGTCCTAGCCAGTTTGGCTCAGTGGATACAGTGTCGGCCTGCGGACCAAAGGGTCCCAGGTTCCATTCCAGTCAAGGACATGTACCTCAGTTGTAAGCTCCTCCCTGGCCTGGGACCTGGTTGGGGCTCGTGCAGGAAGCAACCAACCAATGTGTTTCTCTCACATGGATGTTTCTCTCTGTCTTTCCCTCTCTCTTCCACTCTTTCTAAATATCAATGGGAAAATATCCTCAGGTGAGGATTAAAAAAATAATAATAAAATAATAATAATAATAATAATAAAGGATAACTTGGTTTATCCCCAAAAAAATCCACAAATTCAGGACTAAGAAGGCAAACCTACTGGAGAGGAAGTTATCAACTTTTTGCCTTCTGTGAGCAATAGTGTATGATATAATGAGGTGCAACTGCACATTTAATATAACTATACAAGCTATGGAAACCAGAAATAAGCTAATATCTTTGAGTATATCTTTACAGAACTCAATTCAAGAAAGGATTTAAATGAAGGACTAGCAATTCCCCAAAAGTAAATATTTTATAAATGTGAGGTATTAATACTAGTTTAAAGGAAAAAAACAGGCATTACCTAGCGATGAAGAACAAAAGAGATCTCTGTATTTCTTTACTTTATTTTCTGATTGGGTCAATATACCTTCCTCCACAGAGAGGAAGTCTGCCGCATCTGTCCCTTCCTCTCTCACATTAAACCTGGTTTGAGATGTATCCGAGGTGTAGGAAGAGTCGATTTCTTGAGGAAGAAAATGCCAAGATTCTGTTCTCTAAAACAATAATTTTGAAGGAAAATATACTGTTATTAACTGAATTAACATACATATTAACATTTGTATTAAAATGTCCACTCACATAGCTTCCTATTTGATAACAACCTCATCAAAGTTTATAAAAAGTAAAGCTTTTCTTTCTATTTCCCCCCAATATTAACTATATGTTAGACCTCTTTCCCATTACTACTTATCTCTTAATTTGAATCTACCAGTAAACCTTGTACAGTTAGTTCTCATAATTAAAAGAGTAAATTTGGGCCTGACCCAATGCTCAGTGGTTGAGCACTGACCTATGAATTAGAAGGTAAGGGTTCAATTCCTGGTCAGGCCACATGCCCAAATTGGAGACTCCATCCCCAGTAGAGAGTATGCAGGGGGCTGTCGATCAATGATTCTCTCTCATCATTAATCTCTCTCTCTCTCTCTTTCGGAAATCAATAAAAATATATTTTTTTAAATAAGAAGGAACCAAGATGGGGGCATAGGTAAATGCCTATACTTGCTGCCTCTCACAACCACATAAAAATTATAACTAAAATACAGGACTATCATCCAGAACCACGGGAAAGCTGGCTCAGTGGAAGTACTACAACTAGAGAAGATAAGAGGAAAGCACGTTAAGACTGGTATGAGGTGCTTATGGGCTGGAGGCACAGAACAGGCTGGTCTGGCACCTGGGTGTGCCACTTTTTAAATTGTGCCACAATTTAGGGAGATTGTCTGTGCAGAGACTGCCCAGAGGAGGAGGGAGGGGTCCCAACCCCACACCAGACCTCCAGCCCAGGGTTCCAGAGCTAGGGAAAGAAGTCCCTACGGGCAGTCAGAACTACAGGCTAGTGGACCTGACTGGTTTGGTGTGTCTGCTATAGACTGAAGGGTCCCAGGTTCGATTCCAGTCAGGGGCATGTACCTTGGTTGTGGGCACATCCCCAGTAGGGGGTGTGCAGGAGGCAGCTGATTGATGTTTCTCTCTCATTGATGTTTCTAACTCTCTATCCCTCTCCCTTCCTCTCTGTAAAAAAATCAATAAAATATAGTAAAAAAACAAAACAAAACAAAACAAAAAAAACAAACACCAAGAAAAAAACAACAAACCTACAGGCTGTAACAATCAGTGCAGATTGGGGTTGAATGACATATAGGCTGCTGGAGACCCAGCTGCTTCTCTTCAAAGGCCAGCACCACGAATGAATTTACAACCTCCTACTTCCTCTGAGGTCCAGTGTTGAGCAAGACTCTGGGGGACCCAGATACATACAGGGAGAAACTGGACTGTCTGGCATCAGTAAGAAACTCAGGGGTGACTTTCTTCCAGACGTAAGTGGTCACAGTGGGTCCTTGTTCCTGTGGTGGGAATCTCCAGGTGCAGGGCTGACTAGCAGCCATTTCATTTTGCTCAGCCCTGGTGATTCCCTGATACCCCACCCCACCCAAGCTGGGGGCAGCAGCTTTTGTATATGAATGGCCTGTCCTTTCTCAGCCTAAATTCTGTCAAACAAGCTACTCCTGGGTCAGGTAGCCCCAAATCTATCAATAAAAGGCCCAAGTCACACCTGCACCAGCTGGGCCTTGTATGGACACTTCCAAACCCAATACAAAAAAGAAGAATCTGCAGATCTCTCTGTAGCTCCTGCTGGGTGGCCCCAGGCAGGGGCTGACTTTACACCTCCTTGGAGACCCAAGAGCCAGTGTGCCCAGTGCTCAGTGTGAGACCATACCAGATTAAAACTCTTCACATCCATAAGTGACACACTCAAGGGGCAGACTCAGTGAGCACCAAAGCCCCACCAAAGCAAGTCCTGCTGCACAGGGGCGTCTCCGGCATAGCAGCTCTTCCGCTGCAGTAACAGCTGATCTCCAGAGTCAATTGGCCTGGAGGTCAATTCCTCCCAGTGACACCAACAGCAATCAAGGCTCAATTACAACAAGACTGCATACAGCTTAAAGAGGTGCACCAAGAATGTTCACCTCAGGTGACTGGGGAGGCTGAGCCACTGGGCCCTATAGGACACCTACTACACAAGGCCACTCTATCAACTCAAGGAGACATATCAGTTACCCAATATATAGAAACAAACACAGGGAAGCAGCCAAAATGCAAAGACAAAGAAAGAGATCACAAATGAAAGAAATGGAAGAAAGCAAACTACTGGATATAGAGTTCAAAACCACAGATATAAGGTTACTCAAAAATCTACTATAAACCTCCAAGGAACTTAGTAAAATCTTCAAAGACTTTAGTGAGAATGCCAAAAAAATGGGAAAAAAAAAACAGTCAGAAATTAAGCATACACTGAATGAAATAAAGAATAATATACAGGGATTCAACAGGATCCCGAGAATCAAGTCAATGATTTAAAATATGAGGAAGCAAAAAACACCCAACCAGAAGAGCAAAAGGAAAAAAGAATCCAAAAATGCGAAGCACTAGAAGCCTTGAGACAACTTCAAGCATACCAAAGTTGGGGGTGCCAGAAGAAGAGAGAGCAAGATATTGAAAACCAACTTGAAGAAATAATGACAGAAAACTTCCCCCACCTGGTAAAAGAAATAGACTTCCAAGTCCAGGAAGAGCACAGAGAACCCTAAACAAATGGAATCCAAAGAGGACCACATAAGGAAATATGGTAATTAAAATGCCAAAGGCAAAAGACAAAGAGAATTTAAAAGCAATAAGAGAAAAACAGTTAGTTACCTACAAGGGAGCATCCATATAACTGTCAGCTGATTTCTCAACAGAAACTGTGCAGGCCAGAGGAGAGTGGCAAGAAATAGTCAAAGTGATGAATAGCAAAAACCTACAACCAAGATTACTCTACCCAGCAAAGCTATCATTTAGAATTAAAGGTTAGATAAAGAGCTTCACAGACAAGAAGAAGCTAAAGGAGTTCATCACCACCAAACCAATATTACATGAAATGCTGAAAGGTATTCTTTAAGAAGAGGAAGAAGATAAAGATAAAAAAATTATGAACGAAGTGACAATACATATCCATCAACAAGTGAATCTAAAAATCAAATAAATAATAACTCCAAATAACAAACTGGTGAATGGAATAGAATTAGGGGCATGGAAATGGAACAGACTGACGATTCTCAGAGGAAAGAGGGTGGGAAGAGATTAGACAAAGATCTTATATATATATAATGCAGTACATATGGACAAAGACAACAGGGTGGCAAGGGCATGGAGTGGGGTGGGAACAGGGTAGAAGGCAGCTATGGGGGGGGAAAAGAGGGCTATCTGTAATAATCTCAACAATAAAGATTAAGAAACAAACAGAAAAATAAATTTGGTTCTAAATGATGAAATCTTATAATAAAACTGAAAAAAAAAATTGCAAACCTAACACCACAATATTCTCATTATGTGACTACTTTACTGAATTAGCTATACCAGTTTCTAGTGTACTCTGCTCCTTTCAATGACATCATATCATCCATGAACAGTGATACATTTGTCCCTTTCAAATGGCATGATTCAGCAATGCTTCTAGAAATATCTGTGGGAAGGATCAGTTTTTCCTACTTCTAATTCATTATAGGAAGATATTAAAATACTAATAAATATTAATAAGTAAATACAAACAACACATAATAAAAACTACTAAAAATAACTAGAAAAGGAGGATCCAAGATGGCTGCACAGATAAACACCTAACCGCAGCCTTACACAACAATTTCAATAAAATACAAAATGGACATTACCTAGAACTACAGGAAAGTCGACTGACTGGAAATTCTACAACAAGAAGGAAAGAGAAAACCAGAAGGAAAAGCAGAAGAGCTGTAAAAGCCTGAGAGAGATAAAAGAAGAGAGAGAGCAAGATATTGAAAACCAACTTGAAGAAATAATGACAGAAAACTTAAGGTACGGAGACATGTTGTGCACGCGGACAGGACGGAGTCGGAAAGGAGAGGGCGGCTGAGTGCCTGGCTGGCGTTCCCTAGCGGGAAGGAGATAAAAGCTCCAAACTGTGCTGAGCCCCAGTTTCGACTGCATTGAACCCCAGTTCTGGGCTAGACCCTGGGGACCCAGGCTTATACAGAGGAAGCTGGGCTGTAAGGCGGAAACCCAGGGGAACGGCGAAAGGAAGTCCTGGAAGCGTGCAAATTGTGCGCAGAGAACGGACGGTTGACTGTGCCGCTGGATTGCCCTGGCGGGAAGGAGACAAAAGCTCCGGATTGCATGAACCCCACTTCCAACTCCACTTCCAACTGAACTGAACCCCAGTTCCGGGCTCATTGGAGGAGAGCCTAGACTGCTTGGTAGCGGGCGAAATTCGAGGGCACCTTTCTCTCAGAGGTGCTTGTGGCGAGTACCAAAAGACACTGAGGAACACTGAGACTAAGGAGCCTCTTAGGGCGTGGCTGAGAGAAGCCAAGGCTGTAGGCTCCACCCTGAAACTCTGCCCCATCCAAGCTGAACACAGAGACTTTTAAGGCTACCAACTCAGGGAAGCTGTGAAAAATGCCAAGGAAACAGATCACAAAAGAAAGAAATGGAGGACAAAAAGCAACTGGATATAGAATTCAAAACCACACTTATAAGGTTTTTCAAGAATTTCCCAGAAAAGGCCAATAAAATAAACGAGATCTATGAGGATATGAAAAGGGATCAACTAGAAATAATAAGGGATCAACAAGAAATAATAAGGGATCAACAAGAAATAAAGAATACAATGTCTGAAATAAAAAATATTATACGGAGTCCTAAAAACAGAATGGAAGATTGCAAGAATCAAGTCAAAGATTTGGAACATAAAGAGCCAGAAGATACTCCTCCACAGAAGCAAGAAGAGAATCCAGAAAGTTGAAGATAATGTAAGAAACCTCTGGGACAACTTCAAACGATCCAACATCAGAATTATGGGGGTCCCAGAAGATGAGAGAGAGCAAGATATCGAAAACATACTGAAAGAAATAGTGACAGAAAACTTCTCCCACCTGGTGAAAGAATTGGACTTACAAGTCCAGGAAGCGCACAGAACTCC